TACAGATCACAAACATAGAAAAGCAAGTCTGTTTTTCCATGAATCATGGATCTAGATTTACTTCTTGCCTGAAAAGCCTTCTGTTTACATACCTCTATTATGTTGGGACATCAAACAGGCTCTGGCCCATGTTTAAACGAGCAACAACTAGTTCTTGCAAGACAGGATATTAATTTTGCAAAGGCGAGAAACATCAAAGAAATGACATAGCTCTAAATCAACCCATTTTTCCTCTGGTTATAAAAGCAAGAATGTTAATCAATGATACAACAGATATTTATTGAGATGCCCTACAATCCAAGCTTTGAGCCTGAGATATAACTTGGAGGGGATGTGGGAGAGACATATATTCAAATTAGAGCATGAAGGTACAAAAGACTATTAATTAATCATATCTAAAGTGATCCTCAGTAAAGATATTTAAGTGAAAGGGCCCTTGCAAATAAAGCAAAGAAGTGAATATCATAGGTGCTTCTACAGTTTCAAGAGCAAGACCAGTATAAATATCATACAGAACAATTGTGAACACATATTGGTCAATAGACAAAATCCTGTGTTGCCAAGTTAATATTGAGAATCGAAATGAGATATTCAATCAGTGAGGCAGTGCATCGAATATAAGATTTCATATGCATGAAGCTGGGATATATAAAAACTTAAACCTACTGCAAGGGATCTTGACTTAAAGATGTTGACGAGTAATATGCGTGCCACCAGAAAGGTCTCATGCCAGCACATATAATTGAAGTGATCCAAACTCTGACGTTTTGATGGGGAATTTCTAAGTCTTGAATCCTCGATCTTGGTCGTAGACGAGGCTGCTGATGAGGCCACGATTGGCTGTGGTGGCTTTAGGGTTTTTGTTTTTGAGTTTCAGAATTTGGAGGAACTAGGAGGGGAGGGCAGAATAAATTGGGCAATTATTGGAAAGGAAGGACTGCGAATGAGCAGTGATGGAGATTGAGACGTCAAAAGGAAGCTAACGGAAAGTTATATGTCCGATAGTGGGCCTGGGCCTTGACCGACCTTAAGGGATTGGGCCATTAGGATAAAGAATCAAAGATATCAGATTCGAAAAATGGGTGCATAGGATGCATGCGTGGTGTTGGCCTGGGCCCTGAACTGTAGTCCATACGTTGTATATTCTGAAACGCGAGTCGTAGGCCTCAAGAAGAACAGACAATGGAGTAGGGAACCTGGAATGGGAAGAGTTATTTATCGATTAATAATAACTAACACCTCATTTGGAGTGCCGGATTTACAGTGGGATGGGATAAAAATTTTGTCCTATCCCACTGTATCTCATGTTTGGTAAGGTGAAAAGATGGGTTGATTGTTGTCTTATATTTCTCTAATTCTAACTTCCTTTCATAAAATGTGGCCCACTTCTCTAGTAGGATTAGGTGGGATAAGATTGGATTTTACTTTTACCGTTACCAATCTCCCGGATTCTCTACCCCTTTTCTTATTTTTTTCTTTGCCAATTTTTCTTTTGATTCGAATAGGTGCACATCGTCGTAGCGTCGACAGCACACTATAATCCATCTCTCTGAGGAGCCAAACAGATCGCTTTTTCTTCTGTCCTCTCTCTTTCCTCCTAGTTTTTCTTTATTTCCCTCTCTTCCTCCTCCCCCTTCCTTCCTTGGTTTCTATCTGATCTGTAGACATCAACCAGATCAATTGCAAGAATTCAACAACTTAGTCATTGACGACTTTGAGGTGGTTCTTTAATTTCGCTTCTTGATCAAATTGCCCTTTCAGTCCAGTTTTGTGGATTGACTTGTTGCCTTATTGGGTTGCATGAAAACAATGAAAACTGTTAATGATTATTAAATATGATTTTGTTATAGTTATGTGCAATTAATCAATAATTGATTATAATCTTTTTTTTTTTTTTGGGATAAAAGCAATTGATGATAACTAGTGGTCCTTATCTTGATACTATAGGGAATTTTATTCTAAATTTATATTTATTGATTTGTTTTTGAAGGAAAAAGCAATTTTTAATAAATTGATTCCTACATCTGAAACTAACGATTTGAATCTTGAATTACTAAGAATCACCTCTTATGAGTTGTGTATTCAATTTTCATGGATTTCCTTTCTCCAATCCTCATTTACTTAAACATATTCTAATTTCAATTCTTTTTTTTTAAAAAAAAGCAATTTTTAATAAATTATTCCTTAATTTAAGGAAAAAAAAGTGGTTCTACTTTTTTTTTTTAATGACAAGTTCCATTATTGAATTTAAAATTAAAAATTTAATAAAATAAAGTTTAAATTTCAAATAAATAATT